AACATACCACTTTCTTGGACTTCCTCTAACTTCTTACCAGTTTTCCCAAAATTTACAAAAATTTTTCTAGTTTTTCCCTTAAAAACTTGCTGTCGAGTGTGGGTATATAGCGTGTGAAAAGAAAAATTTGCGAAAACTCCAAAACCGAAAAAAATTCTCCTCAACACCTCAATGACAAATCTCCCTTCTCTAACAACAACACAATGACCAAGTACGACCCCCGTTGGAAGAATCCCCAATGGATGATGTGAACTGGGAGGGCAGGGGAGAGGAGGGGTGTTTGGCGTTCTTGAAGCAGGAAAAATCATGGAAATCAACAACCGACAATCACAAACATATTCTTGAAGGCAAGATGGTCACTTCCTTCAGCGACTGAAGACGACGCTTCTCGCTGGTTATTCCCAACATTTGACGTGTCCTGGGTGTAGTGACAGAGAGCGATTCTTATTGCGCACAGATTTAGTGGTCGTTTCCCGAATCTTATAACGACCACGATGACCAAGCTCTCTATACCCGTGTGATTGACTGATTACTAGCTGTACTTTTTGGTAAGAAAAAACACCGTCATATACATGGGCTAGCTCGGCTCCCATAAGTCACAGCATCGGCAATCGTAGCTTGAAGTCAGGTTGATTCCGAACGGGAGTAGAATACCCGACTCGTCGGGAAGTGGATCTGACATCTGATAAGCGACTCATACTTCTAGGGTTGATTTGGCGTTTTAAAATGCCCCGTTATTTCCTAACATGGTGACATACTCAATCACTTTAGGTATCACAATAAACGCATTCCATTTGGAGTATGAGACTGCCAAGCGTCATTATGCTCATATTGACTGCCCTGGACATGCTGACTACATCAAGAATATGATTACTGGTGCAGCTCAAATGGAAGGTGCTATTCTTGTCGTTGCTGCAACGGATGGAGCTATGCCGCAGGTCCGTTAATACAATAAATGTGGACTTTTCGAAGTTGTAGTGTCTGGCGCACTTACTGTTAGTCCACATATGTGAACTTTGGTATTTCAGACACGTGAGCACCTTTTGCTTGCCCGTCAAGTAGGAATTCCTCGTGAAAATGTTGCTGTATATCTGAATAAGGTATTGTTAGCGTTATTTTATTCATTTATCTGGAATGTTAGAATGATGTGCTGTTTAGGTTGATGAGGTTCCTGACCAAGAAACTCGTGAACTTGTTGAAATGGAAATTCGCGAACTGCTCAACGAATTCGAATATCCAGGCGACACAGCTCCGGTAAGTGCTCTTCTTATCCTCGACTCTGACATAGTACAAGGGGGGGGGGGGGATGCGAAACAGTTTTTGAGTGTCATAAATATTTCTTGTGTTTTTTTTCGAGAGGGTGGGATCATTTCCATTTAATGAGGAATTAGTGAGGTAGTCCCAGGCTTCAGGATATATCCATGGGTGAAATGACTAAGTTGTCATCATTGTGAGAGTGCGTTCATACTTTGCGGCAGTTTTTTGAGCTGAGTGGTCAAAGGTGGCCTCGGTAGCGTAATAGGGAACGCAACTGCCCGGTAAGCAGAAGATGCGGGTTCGAATCCCGTCCGTGGTCCGACTTTTGCCCATAACTCAGCATTCTTGTGATAGCTACTGCGGCGTTAAACAGCAGTTATCAAACAATAACAGTGTTTTAAGCGTCTGTCAGCGTTTTGAGCGATTAGGAAAGTATAGGTACACTATAGTTCTCTGCGGACGGTTGGGCGTGTCAGCCAGTATGAGTGTGTCACCCTATCAAAGCCGTTCTCTGCCTTCTTGTTGAAGAGCGTCTGCGACAAAAAGTGGTAGAAGACTAGTAATACGAAGGATATGATACAGTATTGTCACTTGCCCGCTTCAACAACTGGTGTAGAACGAGTTTGGCACCGCGCCAAACGCAGCCGCACTGACACGCCCAACCGTCCGCAGCGAACTACACTATATCCGTACGTCCACCAGCGCGTTAGACATTGTGAGCGCCAGCGTATTCAGGATATCGCCAGTACTGGCGGATGGCCACTGCTTTCCGACTATTGAAGTATAGGTGTCGATCTACCGCTTCGAGCTCCCACCAGCGCTTTGACCGTTCTGAGCGATCGGGAATGTTAGTTGCTGAAACGCTGACCGGCTCCAAAAGCGCTGGTGGACGCTTAAAACGCCAGATCTGTAGCTATACTTTGCTAGTCGCACACAGCGCTGACAAGCGCGCAAAACGCTGTCGCAAACATAAAATGTACTCTAATCGTGTGTGGATGGCTGCCTTGCTCCATATGCAGAAGTACCACGCTTCAATTAGGGTGAAGACATCATAGGGACCGCATCGCTCACTTTTTTACGAGACAGAAATAGCCACTAAGAACTTTTTTATGCTTTTTATTCTGTTTGCTATATTAGTAGTTTTTATTGAAGGATGCATTCATTGTTCTAGGTTGTCTTTGGCTCTGCCCTATGCGCTCTCGAAGGAAAGAGACCAGAAATCGGAGAAGAGTCCGTCAAGCAGCTACTGAACGTTCTCGACGAGAAGTTTGTTATCCCTGAAAGAGTTGTCAATACTGAAGCCATGTTTGCCGCTGAACACGTCTACTCGATTCAGGGTTATTGTACATTTCTCTTTCATTATTTTCATCACGTTAATGGTGAATATTTGAGGAAGAGGTACTGTAATTACCGGTAAGCTGGAGAGAGGAACACTAAAACGTGGTGACAAGATTGAAATTATCGGCTGTGATCGAGAAAATGTAAAGTCGGTTATATCTGGTGAGTTTATTTAAGACCGTCCAGATGAATTTAACATGAGGATTAGCGTTTCATGTACGTTGTCAATACTTTGAATTTCTTTTGAGTGACACTTCAGGATTGGAGTCGTTCCGCAAGACTGTAGAGCAGGCGGAACCAGGAGATCAGCTTGGTGTACTGCTTCGTGGACTAGGACCAAAGGATGTTCGTCGAGGATGCGTTCTTCTTCCGCAGGGTCATAAGCATAAGGCAACGGATAAAGCCAAGGCACAGGTGATTAAAATTTGAAGCGTCGCCCCCCCCCCCTTTGTTGAGAACTGTCAAACGCGTTTGGATTGTGTTGGTGGCTGAGGAGCGTAAATGGCAATACTGCTTTTACTTTGCATTCTAATCGAATCAAGGGAAGAGGTCGCACATGCCGGTGGTGTGTGTGGCTGTTAGAGACAGCTTTCGCGATTGAAGTGTCATGAATAGCGGCTTTTCATTATGAAACAGTAGCTGATAAGTAATTCCTAAGAAGAAAAAGCAAGAAGAGTCCTCAAGAACACCATAAACAAAATCGCTCCCTGACAGTCACACCTCCCTGCGGTCTCTGTGCAACCCCTGGCTCACAAATCGCTTTATCGCATCTCCCAGTAGTGGATATCATCCAATGCAAAGAAAAGAATACGAAAAACAGAAAACACGGGCGAAAAACAAAAAAAAGAAAACTTCAAAAAACTGGCGTCCGAATTTGGGGTTACGTGCAGTGTGCGGCTTTTAGTGCATGTCGAGCTTTTGCACCACAAAAATTGCATCACTCGTGATTTTTACGCGTTTTACCTTGCGAGATGGGTTGCAGTTGACTGTATGTGCTCCTAATGAACAAATGTAACAAAGGAGAGCAGAATTGTTTATGGGCACGAGCGCGGCAGCAGAAAAGGGCATGCAATCCATTAATGTCGCCCCATCAAAGAACAAGCTCAAGCGGCCCGCCGTCAGAGGGGCATCCAGCAAGTGTGGCGGTCCCAACTGAGCCGGGCGTTAGAACTGAGAATTTTAACGGCTATAGCTCGCCCCCGCCTCACCGTGTCGAGTCGCGAGAGTGGCGACAGTCTCTAGTTTCGGGGGCTGACTGCTGCGTGAGCGACACGTACTACTTGAGCGCGGGGGCTGTTTTTAAGGGAAGAGTAGAGTCCACCAATGAGCATGTATTGTGGTTTAGTTGCAGCACTAATGCTTCGACAATCCGCGCAGTGGAGCGTATAAGTATAGATCTGAATAAGTTGAAAAGTACGCGTCCAGGGGTGGAAATCGTTTTGCTGTGCTAGCCGTTTAGAGTGTCTGAATTAGCGCTATCCGCGAGTATGTTTCACAATTCGAGGATCCCAGCTTGCTAATTCCTGCCCTCTAACAGAGTCAGCCCATTCCCATGTAATCTTTGGATTCTGCGCATTCTGCAATTTCACGGGTTCTTCACATCCCATGATGCACGCGGCCTGAAGATGGGTGACTGTTTGGAAAATTATTAGTGGTTAAAGGTTTCACACTATGTTCACATAATGTGCAGACAGACCCTTCCTTGGACATGTTGGTCTTGTCCACAAGCGTAGAAGACGTACTCACGCAACTCAAAAGTACCCCATCTTTCATTACTGAAGGTTTCCTGCTGGTGCTACTGTATCGCTACTAGATCTTTCCAATGGTGATAATGAGATGATAAGGAGAGATACGTAAATACAAAATTGACACAAACAGGGCAACTTCAACCGCGCCTTTTCTTCGCCTTGTGCACGTTCAAGCTCGGTTCGGCATGGGGGACCATGCAACTTTTCCAAAGGGTTTTTCCTGTTGTTTTTCTCCTCTTTTGTGCTAGCTGCTTTTTTTCATCAGTATGTGAGCCGCACAACTCACCCTATTTGAGCGGGGACGTGCGTCTGAAGATTTCGAGCTTCAGATTGATCTAATTGTAATAAACAAACCTCAGTACTTTTTCACTGCTTATTGGCAAGTGCTGTGAGTTAAATGATAGAGAAGGTGCGATTCAATATGAGCTTCAGCCTACCTTGCTGGGCATTATTCGATCATCTTACCTTCTCTTACCTTCCCTGCATTTGAATGAAAAAACCATATAATTAGCGTTTTTTGCTTTAGCTGTACGTTCTCAAACCCTCTGAGGGTGGTGCGAAAACCCCGATAGCAAACTATTTCACCGAGCACATCTTCTCTCTCACATGGGATTCCACAGCTTTGCTCAAGGTTGTCGGTAAGGATTTCGTCATGCCGGGAGAAGCTGCTGAGTAAGCCCTTACTTTTCGGTGTTTTTGAAATCAAGTGTAAGTGTTTCATATGTAACCGTTCAGAGTGGAACTGAGTTTGAGCCAGAAGATGTTTATTGAACCACAACAACGATTCACAATCCGCAAAGGAACGACGACTGTAGGAACGGGTGTGTTTACAGAAAATCTCCCTCCCATGACGGAAGAAGAAAAGGTAATAATCGCTAATTATTATTCATTAATTGAATAATATTTATCAATTCATTACTTTTATGACCAAGACATAGCTCATATAGCGTCCTTTTTCTTCAGAATCCCCGTAACAAGAAGAAGTTGATGAAGGCGGAAATGGAGCGGCTAGGATTCAATCCATATGGCGAAATTGCCGAAAAGCGATTGAAACCTGATTATTCGAAATCGCCAAAGGATAACCCGGCAGCTAAAGCTTTTGAGGGTGTAGAACAATGAAAATGATATCAAATATTATCTATTTTGCTTCTTGATTACTTGTTGAAATAGGTAGTGAACGCTGTAGTTTGTTAGTTTTGTTCCAGATTGTTACAATGTTTTGTTTTGCGCATATGACTGTATAAAGAGTTGTTATTAGAGAAATCATTGCTCTCTCTTTGATGTCTTTTAGTGTTGTTTTTTGGAGATGAGACCTCCGAGAATAAAATCTCTGGGTCCAAGCAGCTGCAAAGACGTTGAAAAACAGAAGGCTTGCTACGATAATTCTATCTCACATGCAGAGCAGGCGCCACCATGTGTGCGGGTGTCTCAATTAGATTAGAAGATTCTCCGGTTGCTGCAACGTGTGTGGTCGACCGTGATAGCGGATTTTGCAGCTTACAACCCCTACGAACTATCCTTTCCAACGAAAAAAGCAATATGAATAGCTCGCCAATCAAGTTCTGTTTTCCAATAGTTGTAAACTTTAGTATGTGTACCTGGGTCGGGAAATGCGGAGCTCCGGATTCTCTCTCTCACTCGGGAAATCAATATGATGAACGACTTAGCACCAAACTGAGCAGAAGGAAGCGAGCGTTTTGGGAACAGGGCACGCCATCGCGTTGTGATCATTTTCTGAAAATTACGACCCCCTAATTCCATACTAAAATACGACCCCCTTTTTGGGAGTTGGTACGACCCCCCTCCCAGCCCTCTGTCCTTCCTCATCGAACCGAGCCGTCGAGCGGGGGGAAGTCGTCAGAATTAAACTATCATTTTCAAGTGTCGGAAATAGTAGTGCGTCCGTGAACTGACCAAATACGACCCCCCCCCCTCCCAAAAATGACCAAGTACGACCCCCTCCCTTTACAGCGTCGCGTGAAAAAAGAGAAATCAACTATCAAAAAAAATTTTTCTCTGACCAAATACGACCCCCCCCCTCGCCGGGATCAAATAGGACCCTCACTTGCTGATTTTCCAACGCATGGCGTTACCGGTTTGGAAGCTTTCAAGAACATCGGGGAGTAGCCAGGAAGACGGAAGCAACACCTGCGCCTCCGTCCACTCTTCGATTTCGCAGTCCTTCCTGCTTTGACCTAAGCCTCGGAGACTTGGACTTACGAATGTAGGAATTCAACGCGCTATCGATAGAGCAATGCTCGGAGTTTCCGGCTACACGCAAGTGAGAGAGAGAATCCGGAGCTTCGCATTTCGTCAACGACCAATGATCAGGTAAGCAGGCACATTTGCCAAGGTTCGTCGCATGACGTGGTTGGCCTACTTTGAAGATCACATGGGCAGCGTGTCATGCGACTCAATGATAACTGGTAGAGCACAGTGGTCACCGACTGGATTCCGCGGGAGGTCAGGTGATCAACTGGACCCCGCTATGCGACTGGTCACACTTTTTTTCTTTTAAAGCTCTGAATGAATCGTACGATATTTATCGAGCACAAATACAAAAATACCTACTGTGCAATTCTAGTTCATTGCAGGGACGAGTAGAGAGGTTACTGGCCTCGCTCGAGCAACCTATGATCAGAGGTAGCACAGGTGAGACAGCTGACTCGCACAGGGAGATGGGCGACACTACTGTTAGCTAGCTAGTTAAAGACAGCGCCCGCGATGGACTTTGGCAGGTTTCAGGGGTCACATTTGCTAGAACAGATGGCCAATGAAGCACTAATCAAAAAAAGCAGGAAGAAGGTGTGGAAGAGCGTGAAATAAGACCCTATGAAATTTAAGGCATGTGGACGAGTTTCGCAGAACCTTCTGTCTCCAATACACGTCGCGGCCTCGGAACTCCAGAAACTTAGCGTTTATCAATGCCAGCAAGCATTGATAACTGTCAACCAGTCGGGGCGGGATTAACAGGACAGGAGGCGTCAGCCCGGCTCTGTTGACTCCGCCCTCGTCAACCAATCGATTTCGAGCCGCAAGAGTGGGATTTCTGCTGTGATTGCGAACTCCGCGTTCGTTTTCAATGAAGGGTTTTTCACTTTTGGTTGATCGCAAGGAGGGCTGCCTTTAAAGCTCATGAACCTGTTGTCGCGCGATATGTACATATGTCATAATGGAATATTCCAGAACTGCTTTATTGTATCCGTGGGTTCTCGCTGGGCACGTGATAAGACAGTCGTAAGGTAGCGTTCAGACTTCGCGACGACAGCGCTTCGGTCCGCGTTCGAGCGCGGAGATCGGCGTGCCGGCATTCTTGTCTACTGCATCGATCACGTCGATCACGCTCTGGCCCGTCGCGAAAATCTGAACGCTTGCTAATGTGCCCACCGTTGTTCGTGCGCGGTAGCAAGCGATGCCGGCTACGCGAGAGACGAGTTGTACTGCCTGGCTGTGAGTGTTGAAATTGAAGGGACGGGGAAAGATGCATAGCACTCTGAGTCGTCTGTGCGGTTCACGGTTGGGCGTGTCAGCCAGTATGAGTGTGTCACCCTATCAGAGCCGTTCTCTGCCCTTTTGTTGAAACGCGCATGCGACAAAAAGTGGTGGAAGACGAGTAATACGAAGCATATGTAGATACAGTATTGGTCACTCGGCCCGCGTTCAAACAACCTGAGTGTAGCAACGAGTTGGCACCGGGTCAGAACGCAGCAACCGCGCACTGACACGGCAAACCATACCCCCCCCCCCCCCCCCCCCCCCCCCCCCCCCCCCCCCCCCCCCCCCCCCCCCCCCCCCCCCCCCCCCCCCCCCCCCCCCCCCCCCCCCCCCCCCCCCCCCCCCCCCCCCCCCCCCCCTACAGTAATATCACTCCGAACACCGTTTCTTTCCTTCGTTGAATGTGCATGAAGCTTTCGCTGCCTCCAATCGAGGTTAAGCAGTGAGCGTACATGCAAGAACTTGCGCGCACTGCCGCACGCTTGCGACGGGTAGGCGACAAGCGACAAGATCCCAGCTCAAGTCGGTGTCAATCTACGATTGTCTTGTCCGTCTTCTTAGACGTTGGTGCGACAGAACTGCTAGGTCATGGGCTTCCTCAATCATGGTTCTGATGACGGACCGGAGAGGATAGGTGGCCCTACATGGACATATGGCTACTCAAGGAGACCGAGAATTTCGGTGGGTAGGCCAAATTGGCTTCGGAGTCCCCTTTTCATTGCTCAGTTTCAGTTACAGAAAGATTTTTGTTGCTAATTCTAAACAAAATGAGAGGTGTATAGGTCTCGAAATGATGGAATAAGTTTTGATGAAGCCTGGATTGGGCCATTTATAAAGTGGAATCCATGAGGTGGCAGCGCGAGGTTTTCCCTGAGGATTCCTGTTTCTCTGGGGAATCGGAAACATCTTTCAAGGAATAAACTTTACGCTGATTCTCTCAGAAAACATCCTTAATCGGCTGTAACACACGCAAAAGCTGAGCACGAGCGGGTCCCACCACGAATGCTGCAGCGATGTGCCCCCTCGTCGCTGCGCTCATGTGGTCCGCCGAGGCCAGTCGATACGGCTGCTAACAGCTGTTTGGATTGTTGGTTGTCGTGTGATTTGCATCTTGTTCTATTCGTAAATCCTCTAAAACATTGCTTTCACCCACGTGGTCAAAATCGTTAGAGGATTCACTTTTTGTCCTTACAACTGGCAGGACGTCCAACATGTCGCACCTATTGAGTGGTGATTTCTGTCAAGATGTATGCTTTCTATCGTTAGTTTCCCTGATTTCTTGGTTCATGTGCAGTTAACAGCTCTAGGAATCTTGGCTGCGCCTTTTATTTCGCCCAAGTAGTCGAATCCGAAAACTTAAATAGTTTTTCTTTTATTCTACCTCGATCATAGCTTTTGGTTTACCCCAGGTTTACTGAGGTATAAATAAAATTTTGAGCCATTTCAATGCCGAGGCTGGTGAATAGAACTGCAACTCGCGTTGGAAGCAACTGCTGATGGTATCGATTTATCGCTAATGTGACTTTTAGTTTGATCCCTTGGAGTTGGTGTGATCATGAACCTGATGTACCTGTTTTCTTCAGCTTTTATCTTTCAGAACCTCGAATTTTCCCCAGGTTTCTGCTTTTTTCTTTCATCTGAACTTGAAAAAGTTGAGATTTTAGGGGGTTTCATAAGTTAGGTACATTGCTCAAGCAATAAATTCGGCTGACTGGCCCTTCATAGCTTCACGAAAATTGTGGAGGTGTTTGGGACATGAGGTCAATCATTAGCGATTCACAGCTACTGATGTAACTGCACAGAATAATATGTTAACTAATCTTTCTCCACTATAAAGCTGCATCCGCTGGTCCCTTGTAACTGGGGATTTTGGCTTGCAATAGTTCGTACGGCGTTACGGTCATTCCACACTTACAAGGGAGGTCTTTGAGGTCGTGGCGCGTTTTTTAAAAATGGTTTGTTGCTTGTTGTAGGGGTCCATGCAAGGTTTACAAAAATGGGTTTCATTTTTGCTATGCGTTTCTGGGGAGGTTAAAAAAACTGAGTGAAAACAATTTGACGAGAAATCGCGATTTTAACCGTGTTAATGGGCTCTGTTGTAGCTGTAACTTTGACAGTGCATAATTCATGAGGTGTCCCTTCACTATGTATTGAAAAGATAGCAAAGTAAAGCCAATAAGAAATGACGGCATAGGAGTTTAATACCGACGTTAACTAACGGTTCTCGCGAACACTGCTTCTGTTGCCTCGGACGATGGCCGCGAATGGATAGTGCGGTGGGCTCTCCGCGAGAAGGTTACTTGGATCGGATCCCCGTGAGGACTTAACTCTTTGCATTTTCGGATACTTTATACGTTTTTCGGCTTTGGATTTACGACACCCATTTTTGACCACGGCACAGCCGCCGACTTGCTGTAAGAGAATTCTTCCACTGAATTGTTGCCAACCCGCACGCAGGGGGTTAAGCGCTCATCTCGAGGAGAAATTTTGCTGAAAGTCTGTATATAGAGGTTATTAATGGCCCTGATGACGATTCTGACCTTTAAAATTGGCGTCTAGGTCATTTGGCGCCAACATGGCTCTGAACACCCCCCTCACGCCAGCTGCGGGTTGGGATGCTGCGA